CTAGTGGAAGTTATTATTATTATTGTTTTTTAGGTTTAAGACTTTTTTCTTCATTGCCTTATCTTGATACAGAAAGAGTAGCTCAAACTATATTGCAAGGCTTGACTTCCTTCCTGCCACACTCGAGTTCTTCAAAGCTATCACAAATATCAAATGGCATATAAACCCATTTATCCAAGCTGATAGCAAACAGAAATTGGAGAAGTTATACAGATTAGGACAGAATTAGAAGCCTGGACATGCTTGGTTATCTACTCAGGAAAAAAAAAGCAGAAAAGGCATTAGGGCCCAAAGGCAAGTTGCCTAGTGGAATTCCCCCTACTCTAGTTGCCAAGTGAGAGTGATTGACGTTCCCCTTACCCTTCCTTGGAAGTATCAAGTTATATGATGCCTAGCTGGAAGATGGAAAGTAGAAAGGCTCCTCTTTTAAGGTCTCTCTTTTTAAGTGAGACAGCATTTTGGCCCACTCTCACTGTCACATGGCTAAGGAGGGGCCAAAGGACTACTCAGGATTTTCTGGGTCATAGTAAAGCACAAGCCATTTCAGTTCTGGGTCACCACCAAATCCCTGGAAGTTTTCAGGAGACTCTTGGCTCAGGCTTCCTTTGGATGGCCAATTCAGCCTCTACTACAATATATTACCCCTTTTCTAGCACTTTCAGCCAAATTGGCCTTCTTGCTGTTCCATATATGCAACATTCCATTTCTAACTCTCCCTGCTTTTGCACAGACTGACAACCCCCCCCCCCATAGAAAGTATTCTGAATTCACCTGTGCCTTAGAATCTCTCCATCCTTCAAAGCTTAGCTGGATAATGCCCCTTGAATGAGACTTTTCCTGATAGGGGAATTCAGCTGCTAGTACCTTCTCTCTCAAATATCTCATATTTTCTTGTTTATATTTTGTGGATACTTATCAGAATAAGAATTGCTTCACTGGGAAATAAGAAATACAAGAAATGGGGTGCAGAAATCTATCCTGCCCTACAGGAAAACAGAAGGGGAAGGGGATGGGGGGGGAGATAGAAGAGAGGGCAGACTAGGAGAAGGGATATTCAGAATGCATGCCCTCTTGGGGTGGATGAGGGGTGAGATGAGGTGAAAATTTGGAACTCAAAATGTTGTGGAAGTAAATGTTGAAAACTAAAAATAATTTTTTTTAAAAAATGAAAAAAAGAATAAGAATTGCTTCCCTTCCTCACTCCCGCCCTCCAAATACCATGCAAATTCCTTAAGTGCAAAAACGATTTCATTTTGTCTGTAACCCCAGAACCTAGCATAGTGTCTCGTTTATTAGTAAACCTTTAATAAACCCTTAGTAAATTGATAATTAAAGAAACAAGTGAAAAAAGACCTTCCCCTTCTATCGCCATCCCCTTCTACTCTAAACTCTGTTTCCCAAAGTCTTCAGCTCAAAAGCACCATGGCTTGGTCTTCTTCCCCCTTTTCTGCCCCTCAGAGAGGCGCCTCGGATTAGTGTCGGGTGTTCCTTAATCTCTACCTCTGCCACTGCCCCTTCCGCAATTGGAGCCCGTAGGAGTGGTGACTATAAGAATTGTGAGTGCGGTAGAAGACCCGACAGAAAGGCAGGATGGTTTCAGGAACCATGGCACCACGTCTTGTGCTGCTACTGCTCCTCCTGGGGTCACATCTCAGGCCAGGTTCTGCTGTCGACAGCGACTCCAGGGAGGGCGAGAGCCGCCTGTACACAGCTGTTATCGAGGTGCCCAACGGAGGCCCCTGGGGAGACTGGGCGTGGCCCGAGATGTGTCCGGATGGATTCTTCGCCAGTGGCTTCTCCCTCAAGGTTGGGGGCTCTACGTCTGGGTCCCTGGGGTATTATGCAAGTTGGCAGTGGGGACAGGAGCTAGATGTCTGGGTCCCTGACTGGTGGTGGGAGGGGCTTGGAGACGTCATGTTCTTGGTTTCCTCCTATTGCCTGGCTTGAGAAGCCAGGATTTTGATTCTTTATTCCCCCACACTCCCTAAGGTCGAGCCCCCCAAGGCATCCCTGGAGATGACACGGCCCTAAACGGGGTCCTGCTTCACTGCGCCCGAGGCAACGCTGAGCTCAATACTCACGTGGTGGAATCTCAGTCGGGAAGGTATTAAATCCTAGAGACAGAATCCTTTCCCCTCTCTTCTAGGAAACCAAAGAAGGATACGATAAGGCCTTGAGGATACCTGAGACAGGATTCCCAGAAATTTTCTTAGCCGCTTCCAGTTTGACCTGTGCCCAAAGGCAGGTCCCCTAATCCAAATGTTCTAGGGACAGGAACTCAGTTTCCTCTGTAACTAGAAATCCACTGGGTAAGAGGGATAGGAGAGAAAAGCTGAAGGGTAGAGTGATGGGATCCTGTGTGTGTGTGTGTGTGTGTGTGTGTGTGGTGTGTGTGTGTGTGTGTACAGACACCCCAGTACTGAGTTTTCCCTTTCTTCGAATTGATTCGGAGTTCTCAAGGTATACCGAAAGTAGATGGAAGCCAAAAGCTCTTTAACCAGAGTAGGGGAAGGTGAACAGGCCATATATCCCAGCGATTGCTTTTCCCTTGTATGGGGAAGCTAAAAGAACCTTCCCTCATGCAACCTAGAATTTAGTCTATTTCCTGAAGATCTTAGGATTTGGAGAACTTGGGAACTGGAAGTCTGGTCCCTGGGGGAACGATGGGGGAGGGTAGTGTAAAACGGAGAATTCTATACCCCAGTGGGTCCACCCCCTCTGCTCTTCCCAAAGGTGGGGAGCATGGTCTGAGCCTCTGTGGTGTCTGGATGGCGGCTTCCTCACCTCCTTCTCACTACGGGTGGAAGATTCCAGGACTCCAGGAGACAACACCGCAGCTAACAACGTGCGCTTCCGCTGCTCCGGGGGTGAAGAGCTAGAGGGGCCTGGCCTGGAATGGGGCGAGTTCGGGTCCTGGAGTGACAGTTGCCCCAAGGGTGTGTGCGACCTCCAAACCAAGCAGGAGGCTCCCCGTGGGCTCAGGGATGATACAGCACTCAATGACCTTCGTCTTTTCTGTTGTAGCAGCTGAGATCCATCACAAATGGCTTATCAGTTTCTCTCCCCTCAAACTTCTCTCTTCCCCCAACTCTCTCACCAAGTTCTCCACAAAGCCTGCTCAAAAGGTAGTTTACTCCTTAAGGGAATCTAGTGTTGCCCAGATTTGTGCTCCCCACATATACCCCACCCTCCCCAACCTTCTCTTTTATTCATCAATATTAAATCTCTTCCCATCCCAATCCTCCATCTTGTGTGTTACTGAGGAACCTAGGTATCAGCTGAACCACTTTCCTCTTCCAATGTATTTCCCCTACTAAACTGTAAACTGCCAAGGAAGGCAGGGACCAGGTTTTGTTCTTTGTACCCTTCACTCCCATCCTCACTGTGTCCTGAACATTGTTTAGTGATAGCTCTGTGATCTTGGTCGGGGGGGATCTCTCCTTTTCTCTGTAAACGTTTTCTACTTTATAAGAATAAGTATTTCCCTCACAACTCTGTGAAACAGTGCAGTGGTTATTCCCATCTTAGAGATGAGAAAATTGAAGCCACCAATTGGGCTTGAAACTTCAGACTCCTCACTCTCACTCTATATATATAATCTGTTGCCAAATCTTGTACTTTCTACCTTCACAAATCTCTCCTCTATGTCCCCTTCTTTCCACTCACACAGGTGTAATAACCTTAGCTCATTCCCTCATTGCCTTTCCTTCCACCATTGCAATAACCTTTTAACTGGTCTCCCTGCCATAACTCTGTCCTCACTCCAAACCATTGACCACACAAATGGTGAAGTGATTTTTTTCTAGTGAAGGTCTGACTATGTCATCCCTCTGCTTAATGAGCTCTGGAGCTTCCTATTATCTCCAGAATCAAATATAAAGTCTTCCGGCATTTGAAGCTCTTTGTAACCTGACACCTTCTGACCTTTCTAGGCTTCTTACACTTTATTCCCCTCTGTACACTCTAAGATGTTTCTCGAACCAGACGTTCAAACTCCCATCTCCACACTTTTGCACCAACCCCATGCCTAGAATGCTCTGCCCTCTCACCTCTACCTCTTAGTTTCCCTGGCTTCCTTTAAGACAAGGTCTATCTTTTGCTGGAGGCCTTTCCTGGTTCTCCTAGCTGCTGTTGTCCCTTCTCAAGTTACATTCTATTTAATCTTTATATATCTTTTAAGTACCTAGTTATGTACTAGTTGTTTTCACCCATTAAAATGTAAGCTCCTTGAGAGCAGGGAACACGTTTGCCTTTCTTTGTTTCCTAGCATATAACATAGTGCCTAGCACATAATAAGTGCTTAATAGAAGAGTGCTTAGTAATTTGCCTAAAAATAACACAGCAAACCCAGGTTGCCTGACTTTTGTTCCAACACTGTCCTCTGGGAAAGACAGCGTGGTATCCATGGAGGACAGCACTGACTTTGAGAGTCTTGGTTTGAGTTCAAATCTTGATCATGCCATTTATTACTACATAAAATTGGGCATGTCAAAACTTCCCCAGTCTTCAGTTTTTTTTTTTCACCCTAATAGGAGAGTTGGACCAGATAGATGGCCCTTGAGATACTCTTCCAGCTTTAAATGATGATCCTATGGAGATAATAAAAAGAGTGCTAGATTTGGAATCAAAATATGGATTCTAATCCCTCCCTCTGACTCAGCTTCAGGGAACTCTATAAAACCTAAAACAGATTGTTTTCAACATCTTTTCTCACTCCCAGGAAGTAAATCTCAAGTCACAGTGTTCTTGGGAAGTTCAAATGAGATAATATACATTTTAAGTTTAAAGGCCTTATTTTAGTTATTATTACACTACACGGACTCTAGCTGAGTCAAGACTTTTCCTAGCTGGGAGTTGACTGTTGCACCTAAGCCTTGTGCAGCCCTGAAGTGAAAAACCATGTTGAGCAAGGCCAAAGAACACCCAAAGGTTTCTCCTGGTCCAGCTGGATAGGAGAGGGGAGGACTAGAGTTCTCAGATGAGACAGAGACATCGCCGAAGGCAGTGCGAATCAGGATACTTTATTTCAGTTGATGGGGTCGGGGTGAAAAGAGAAGTGGGGACAACCCACCCCAGTTTCCCAGCTCCTTGGAAACGGCGTTCTGGCAGAACCCGTGCCCCTCTCAGCTTCAGAGCTCAAGAATCTGGAGAAGAAATAAGAGAAGAGACCATTCCCAGGCGTTCGCAAGCCCAAGCCCCCGGCCCCAGCACCTCCGCCGCAGACCTCAGAGCCCTTACCTCATTTTTTCCGGCAGTCCCCGCAGAAAACTCCTAGGACACCATTCACTAGCTGTATGCCGCACAACACTAGCTCCAGAATTGACACCACCGTCAGCAGCGTGAACAGAGTCAAGTTCCACAAAACCACTTTCGGAGGCTCCAGGCACTGGTCCCACCACGAACTGTTGCCCAGGTAATTCCCACTACGGAGGCAGGGGCCAAGGTAGAAGACTAAGCCAGGGGTCAGTCGTGAAACTCCTCACGCGAGGAAGTGGTAAAGGTATCACGCACACACCCGGTGGGAGGGGCTTCCCTTTAGCTTGGGAATGGGTTTATCCCACTCGGCGGAGGAGTGCGCTCTGGGTCTTGCCCTATGTTTGGGAAGACAAAGCCTGGGATTTTTCTTTTGGAATCGGGAGGTTTTCTGAGGTGTTGGGCGAGGAAGGTCGGCTGGGGTATTGAGAGTCAGATCTGGCCTTACTTGCTATTTTCGAAGGGGTAGCTCCACGTGTTAGGTAGCTCTGTCAGGCATTTGGGCCCAGTCTCAAGCCCCGATGCAGACACCGAGAGGCAGTAAATGGCCCCGATAGCCCCGGTAGCCGAACAGAAGACGGACCTCAGCATCTGGAAAGCAGGGCACAGAGATCTGAAACTAGAGGGGCCTTGGGAGTCCGTTTAGTGACTAAATGACTAAATTTTAGTCCAATCCTTTCATTTTGCAAATTAGGATGTGAGGGCAGAGCAGTAAAGTGACCCAAGATGATATCCAGGTATTAAGTGACAGAGACCACTTTCAGACTCATATCCTTTGCTTTCAAATCCAATACTCTTTCCACGGTTTGGAAGTGCAGAGGCTCAGTGATCCCTTGCCCCACCCTCCCCAGGGTAGCACCCCTCCCCTGGGAGCATTACTGCTTCCAGCCTAAACCCTACCTCCACAGCCTCCACTGACTTATTCCCTATTTAAAAATACACCTCCCTAGCCTGTAGGGCACAAAATTAAGAATTAATCCCTGTGGGTTTCCAGGGAAGTGTAGTACTCTTGTCTTCTGGAGGAAGGGAGATATGTTGACTCTTGGAGCTAGAAGGGACCTTGAAGACTATCTAGTGAAATTCTTTCATTTTACAGAAGAGGAAACTGAGGCCCAAAGAGAAGAAATGTCTTCTCCAGGGCCATATATGGGGAGTTAAAGGGACTAAAACATTTGTCCTGCTTCCCAAGAACAGTGTACTTACTTTCCAATTACTTAAGAGATCACGTATTCAAAGGAGGCAGCAATGCTATCCTTGACCTAGCATTGATAAGGAGGGGATTCAGGACATTTTGGGGTTCAGCCTGTCTGACTAGCTATGTGACCTTGGACAAGTCAGATTGCAGGAAGGGATCTTAAAGCTCATCATTCACTAGGCCTAACCAGGTGCCAAGAGCACATTCCCCCCACAGCATGTCTTCTAACAGCACCCCAAAGCCATCTCTGGGTGAAGCAAAGGAAGTGGTGCTTAATCACCATGTATTTACTGATTCAGCTTCTAAATACTGATGATACAACTGTGCTAACCAGGATCTCCTACAAATATATCGTTTGATTTCAACTGGGCCCTCACTGCTGTGTGGCAGTCCATCTATTCTTTGAGTGACTCCATCACACACTGCCTCCCTAGAAGAACTATTCCAGATCTTCTCTTTTCTTCTTACATGCTAGCTATTATTATATCTCCCTCTCACCCTCTGTATCCTCTAGCAGAGGTCAGCCACTCCTACTTTACTGAGAAAATAGGTCATGAGATCCCCCTTCTTTATTAAAATACCTCTATATAACCACTACCATGCACATTCTCTCCTCCTTTGAACCAGGCTCTGATAAAGCAGTCATTCTTCTTGTCAAAGACAAGTCCTACAATTGTGTCCTTTACTTCATTCTCCAATGTCCCTTTTGGTAGCTTGTCTCTTTCTCATTATGTCTTGTTCTCATTTTCAATCTCCAGTTATCACTGGCCGCTTCTCTTCGACCTAAAAACATACCCAGGTTCATCTTCCCCCATCCTTAAAAACAAACCTTTCACTGGACCCTGTCATTGCCTCAAACAATAGTCCCATGTGTTACCTCTCTTTTACAGCCAAACTTCTTTATTTGGGGGAGGGGAAGCTATATAGCCTTACCTCCTACTCATTTCTCAACTCCTTCAACCTGGCTCCTGAACCCTTTGATTAAATGTGCTCTTTCAACAGAGTCAAGAAAATATATAGTGACTATAGCTACATAAATGGACACAAAATAATTGATGGATTTTGTGAAATTTTAAAAAAAACAAGCTTGGCCCCAAAGAAAAGATATGAGAAGATACTTCCCCCACTTCTTTGCAGAGCTGGGAGATCTAAGGGTATGGAACTTTGAAACTGCTCTCTTCAGGGTCACCAACAATTTCTTAGTTGCTAACCATACATACTCAGTTGACTGCCAAGTCTTATAGATTTTACCTCTGAAACATCTTTTCCATCAGTCCCCTTCTCTCCATGGACAAGGGCACTACCCTAGAGCAGACTTTTTATTGCTTTTATCTGGATCATCATGCCAGACTCCTAATTGGTGTCCTTGCCTTAAATGTCTTCCTTCTCCAATGCATTCCCTGCATGGTACCAAAATCATCTTCCTAAGCATTCTTCCTGCCTCAAGTGTCTTCTCTCTCCCATTCCTCCTCCACACAGTTGCCAAAATCATCTTCCTAAGGCACAGGTCTGACCATGTTATTTCTATAATCAAAAGTCTTCCATGGCTGTTTATTGCCTCTTGGATAAAACACAAACCTCTCAGCCTGGCATTTAAAAGTCCTTTACTTTTGGCTCCAGCTTTCTCTTCCAGGTTTATTTCAGATTGCCAACTTTTATACAATCTATATTCCAGCCAATCCATTCCATTTACTGCTCCTGGGCCTTGGCACAAGCTTTTTCCAGTACACCTCTCTACTCCTCATCCCTATTCCAGTAGCTGGAATGAATGCAGTCAATTTATCAACAATCAATTCCATTCAGCAAGCACTGATTAAATGCCCACTTTGTGCAAAGCACTGTGCTAGGCACTGGGAACACAAAGACAGATGAAAGCAAAATTGAGTCCTCAAGGAGCTTATATTCTGCTGAAGGGAATAGTGTATTACACAGTTATGTAAATGCCAAATATCTATAAAGTTATTTGGAAATAGGAGGAGAATGTTAAAAACTGAGGAGGGGAATCAGCTAAGGCTTGTGTTAAGAGCTGTCATGTGGGCTGAGCCTCGAGGGGAGTTCAGGATTCCAAGAAGCAGAGGGTTATTAATAAATGTTTGCTGAATGACTTATGTGGAAAAGTTTAATATGACTGTACATGTATAGCCTGCGTCAGATTGCTTGCTGTCTTGGGGAGGGGGTAGGAAGGAGGGGAGAGGGGAAGGGAGAAAAAAATGTGGAACTCAAAAATCTTATAAAAGTGAATGTTGAAAACTATCTTTACATGTAATTGGAAAAAAAGCAAAATACTACTAAGTGAAAAAAATGCTTGCTACAAAGTAAATAAATAAACAAATGCTAGTTGTTTGATTGAGTACATTCCAGCCAAGGGAGAAAAACAGCTTGTTACAAAGGGCCCAGAAACAGGAAATGGAATTCTGAGTTCCCAGAGAACAGCCAGTCAGATTGATTGGCTTGAACTTAGATTGTGTAAAAGAGAAATAAGTCTGAAGGAAAAGCTACAACCAAATTGTGAAGGACTTTTAAATATCAGGCAGAGAAGTTTCTGTTTTATCCAAGAGGCAATAAAAAGCCACTAAAGATTTTTGATCATAGAAAGGACATGGTCAGACCTGTGTTTTAGGAAGATGATTTTGACAACTGTGTGGAAGATGAATAGGAGAGAGAAGATACTTAAGGCAGGAAGGTTAATGTAATAGTTGTCCAGGCCTTGGCAAACTATGGAATCCAGCATGTGGCCTCATTTTATGCAGCCTAAGAGCTGAGAATGCTTTTTATATTTTTAAACACATTTTTATTTAATTTGAAAATATGTAAACCATTCATAGTTCTCTAGTCATACAAACAGGAGGCAGGCAGATTTGGCCCTCCGGTCATAGTTTGCTAACGGCTGCTATTGTAAAAGGTGATAAGGACCTCAACTAGAGAGTTAATGGAGAGAAAAGAACTGACAGAAGAGATGGACAGATGTTTTAGATGTAGAATCTGTAAGACTTGTCAACTGATTGGACAGGGAGTTGAAAGAGAAGGAAGACCCCAGGCTAACTGTGAGGTTGCAAATCTGGATGACTTTAAGGATAGATTTGACAAGCAGAGAAATTAGGAAGAAGACAAGGGTTTAGGGAGAAAGATAATGAGTTCTGTTTTGTGTTTGTTTGAGTACTGAGCTTGAGATGCCAGTGGGACATCCAGGTGGAGATATCCAGGAAGCAGCTGGTGATACAAAACTGGAGAAACATGGGCTAGATGTGTATATTTGGGTGTCGTCTTGGGGGATGATGAGATCAGCAAAAGGGAGAACATAGTGAGTGAGGAGAAGGGAATCCAGCAGGTGGTTGAGAAATCCATGAACCCAATCCCCTTCATTTAACAGGTGAAGAAACTGAGGCAATCTCTCACATTATTGTTATTATCATTATTAATGGCTAGTAGTTGTATAGCACACTAAGGTTTGCAAAGGACTTCACAAATGTTTTCCTAATTTTATCTTCTCTGCACCTCCATTTTCTCACCTATAAAATAGGGATAATTATATCTTACTGGGTTGAAAACCTTAAAGTACCATTTACATGAAAAAGACTAAAGCAGGCCTTGAGGTCACATTTGGCCCTTTAGGTCCTCAAGTTCGCCCAAACTTCATAGAACAAATCTCCTTAATAAAAGGATTTGTTTGTGTGACCTTGGGCAAGCCACTTAACCCCGATTGCCTCACCACAAAAGCAAAAAAAAAATTAAAAATTAAAAAAAAAGAATTTGTTCTGTAAAACTTGGACTTAGTCAAAAGGCCATAAGAAGGCCACACGTGGCCTTTAAGCTGAAGGTTCTCCATCCCTGGGCTAAAGCATTTTTAAAGACTATGGACTCGAGAGCAGGCCCCTGATGTGAGGGGTGGGGGTTCTTAGATGAGTAGTGCGTGCAAAGAGCACCTGATAATGAATAGTGTGTGGGTGTGGGTGTGGGCCTTACCCGACATCGATTTCCACAGCAGCCTGCTCCACAGCACCCTTTGCCCCCAGCTCGAACAGCAGATATTCCAGGACATAGCACCTATAGGAGAAAAGGGAGAGGAATGACTATCAGACCTCTACTCACCAAGACTGAAAACACAGCCAGACAGATTGATAACTGCCAATTTCTATTCCTATTCCCGCCATCTTTTTTTCTTGGTTAGAAATGATGGAAGGGAAAGTGCTGACTTAGGGAAAGGGATAACCTGGATGTCAGCATCTGAGATATGATCGGTGCACATGTTTGTAGGGCTCATCTTGGATTCTGGAATACCCTGAGGATCAGTCCCGGGGTCTCTGCCTTTCTCTCCCTATTTTCTCCTTTGTCAATTCTCCAGGACTTCCATTACTGCTTTATTTATGGATGATTCTCAAACGTACATCTCTAATCTGGATTTCTCTTGCTCTAGACCCATATTTATAGATTCAGAGTTTGTCAAAGAGTTATAAGGAATTATAAAAATAATCCAATTCACCCTCTCTCTCACCCCTTATTTTATAGATGAGGATGACGGGGAACAGAAAGATCAAGTAGCTAGCTCCATTACTTATAGAGCTATTTAGCAGTAGAACTGAGGTTGAAGCCCTGGTCTTCTGATTAGGTTGCATTATCATTTAACTTCACTTTCCTCATCTATAAAATGGGGTATACACACACACATATAGTATTATATATTATATGTATATATGTATGTATATACATATATAATATATAAGAATTACATTTATATATATTTATATATTTTTTGTATGTTGTGAGGAACATACATCGTAAAACTTAAAATGCCAAAGTTCTTTCCCAATTTTTTTTGAACCACTAGCTTTTTGCAACCACATATGTGGCCTATTGTTAACAATCCTCACTGGTGCCCCTCTCCAGAGTCTTTCCATTAGAACCAGAGGGCAACTGGGAAGGAGTACAGCAGGAGAGATGAGGATTAGACCTTGGGAGGAACTTCCTAAATATGAATGAGAGCATACCTGGGACCAGGAGTCAGGGAAGGGGAGCAGGGTGGGTGGAGATGCCTTACCTATACCATTTGAGTGTCTTTAAAACAGACCAGATCACAGGGTTGAGGGTAGATACCTGTGTATCTCAATCTCTCTTCCTGTCCAATTAAAGTTCAAAATAACTTAAATAGGACTAAGGGTGGCTAAGAAGAAGAGGAAAACCAGGAAGGCCTGTTCTCACAAGTCTCCCAACCACCAAAATATCAACATGAGAAGAGAAAGGGTACTGGGCCCAGAGGCAGGACAGAGAGAAAGACCCTTGGCAGGACCATTACTGTCTCTTCCTGGCTCAGTATCACTGTATCTCTCCTTCTCCCTCCCTTCTGCCCTAGCCAATGCTGATTATTGTGCATTGATGACCCCCAACTCATCAGTTACTCTTCCTGTCTCAACACAGACTGGGTAGCCAGGTATTTTCACCACCCCTCCAAATAATAGAGGTAATTGGTAGAGACAGATATACTCCTAGAAAATAGACTGGGGATCCCAGGAGAGAAGTTGGTTAGGAAAATGGGGCTCTCCACCTTCAGAAATCTTATTATAATATTGTCATCATTCCACCCCAAATGCCATCTCCTTAGGGACCCAAGCCTCTCCCCTCAAACCCCTAACTCCAGATCTATCCCTGTTTCCACTATATGTCTTACCATAATGCCCCCGCCAATAAAGCCTGCTGAGAGCTTCACATGCAGGCTGAGATGTTCAGTCCATTTGGTCTCGCCATTGGGCACCAGGAGGAGGATGTTGGCCACTATGCAGATGAGGGACATTGGGATGAGGCTGAGCCCAACACATCGAGCACACTTTCCTGTACACATGATCAGTGGAGGACAGGCACCTGCTGAAGAAGAGGGGAAGAGGGAGAACAAGAAATATAGAAAAGCAGAGAGAGTTGAGGGAAGAGAAAGTGATTGTGGTATCTCAGGAGTAGGGAGCCTGCTGCAAGGGACAAAGGGCAGGTGGGAGGTGTGGCAGAAACCTAGAACCAGAAAAGATCAATAAGGGAGAGACATAAAAGGGTGATGACATTTGTGGCTCTGTGTGGGGCAAGAGGGAGAGGATGTCGGAGAAGGGGGAGGCTGACCGTCAAAGAGGAAGTTGTCAAGGCCAATAACTGCAGTCACTTGCTTTGCATTGCTCCAAAACCCCTCCACAAGTTTTCTGAAGACCTTTTCCAGGCAGAGAAATCCCAAGTTCTCCCAGTTTTCCTCCATTCTCCTGAGACCAGGGCACTCCCTTTGAGATTGGAAAACTATCCCAGGAGGAAAGAAAAATAGCAGACAGAGAAAGCATGGCTAAAGCTCAGGGACTGGGTTTTCTCACAGAATGGACCATGCATCCCCTGAGGGATACATGGAAAAATGTCGAGCTTCTCTTTCATTTTCTTTCCCCTTTCAGAGACAGAAGACCACAGTGAGAAACCACTTCCTCCTCCTTAGAGCAGGAATGGTGTAGGACTGAGACTGAAGCATAGCAGAAATTATGGAAAGAACCCTTGAATTAGATGTCTTAGATACCATAAACTGAACATGTCCAAATCTGAACTCATTATCTTTCCCCCCAAAATCCTCTTCTTTTCCCAACTTGCCTATTACTATTGAGGGTGCCTCCACCTTCTCAGTCACCCAGGCCTTCCAAGTGTCATCTACAACTTGTCACTCTCACATCCCACATCATATCCAATCTGTTGCCAAGGCCTGTCAATTTTTACCTTTGTGTCATCTCTCCCACATATTCCTTTTCCTTCTGACACTGCCATCACACTGGTGCAGGCCCTCATCGCCTCACTCCTAGACTATTGATTGGTGTCCCTGCCACCAGTCTCTCTCCATTTGAGTCATCTTCCACTCATCTGTTAAAGGCATCTTCCTAAATTTGAAGATCTGACCATGTCACACCCACCCCTAGCCTCCAATGGCTCCTTATCACCTCTAGGATCAAATATAAAACCCTCTGTTTAAAGCCCACCCCGACCATTCCAGTATTCTTATACTTTACATTGAGCTCCAAATCTTCTTTGATCCAGTAACATTGGCCTCCTTGCTATTTCTCAAACAAGGCACTCCATCTCCTGGCTATGAGAGTTTTCACTGGCTGTCCCCCATGCCCAGATGGCTCTCCTCATCTCCACCTTTTGGCTTCTGTAGCTTCCCTCTAGCTAAAATCCCACATTCTACAGAAAGCTTTTCCCGATCTTTCTTAACTCTAATGCCTGCTCTCTGTTGGATTATTCCACATTTATCCTGTATATAGTTTTTGTACATAGTTGTTCACATGTTGGCACTGTCTTTTACCTTTCTTTGTATTCCCAGAAATTAGCATAATGCTTGGTATATAGTAGGAACTTGATAAATGTTTGACTGATTGAATCAGAGGACTAGACTGGGTAGGACCTGAACCTTACTGGGAATTGAGAGAGATCTGAGTACTACTGTGAAAGTCTAGGTGTTAGCCAGGATAGGATAGAAGATCCTCATGGATCTTCCTCCCCACTGTCACCTTCCTAAATTACCTATAGACATATTCAGTTTTTCCATAATTCTAAGATTAAAAAAAGTAATAATAAAAAATTTTAAATTAAAATTTTAAATTAAAAAAAATTAAATCACCTTCCCTTGTTCCTTCTACCCTATTCACCTACTGCCCCATTTCTCTCCCCCTCTTTATTACTTAATTACTTTATTACTTAAGAGTCATCTTCACACTAAGTTGCCACTTCCTCATTGTCTACTGCCTGAATTACTTTCAGTCTGACTTCTAGACTTAATCTTCTAAATGCCAAATTCAATGACAGCTTCTGAATCTTCACTCTTCTTGATGACTTCTTAAAAAAAATCTAACACTTGCTGACTATCTGCTGGCAGCTTGGTGGCACAATGGATATAGTGTTGAACTTGAAGTCTGAAAGTCCAGAGTTCAAATTTTACCTTATACTTAGCTGTATGACTCTGAGTTAGTCACTTAATCTTTCAGCCTCAGTTTCCTCTTTTGTAAAATGGGGATAATAGCTCCCATGGTACAGGATTATTGTGAGGGCAAATGAGATAGTATCTGTAAAGAACTTGTTAACTATGTTAATACTAGAATAAAAGAAAAATATTAATATTTTACTATGTATTTTAAGTACAAGTCTACCAAACTATTAAATGTATTCAGCTAATATCCAAGCATTTTTAGTTCGGAAAGAGATGTCTAGACTGTCATAGTTTTCCCATTCCCTCCAACATGTATCTCTATCCCAAGAAATTTTAGGCAACATTTATAGAAATCTTCAACAAGAAAATCACAATATCTAAAAATTCAGTCTGGGGTTAACTTTCCAGAATAGTTGAGTAACAAATTCACTATCTGATTCCTTCCTTGACTATTCCTCTCAAGGAATCAGTGGGACTCCTCCCAGAGATCAGTATTGAGAATCTTTTCTGAACAACAGGAGAAGGAGCTTTCCTTCAAATGGAAGAGGGCACTTCTCCTGGCAATAAAGAACACAAGAGGCCATCTTTGTTTAAACCAGTTACTGTCTTTTAAACCATTGGCTTCCCTTTTGTCTCAGTCTATCTCTTACTTTTTCAAGGAACCTTTCCAAGGAGCCTGGAAAGGGTGTTTTAGACTAGAGAAAATATTGCTTAATATTTTCAGTTTTACTTAAAAAACGAAACAAAACACTTTTTAGACCATAATGGAAAATGCTATCTACAGCCAGAGAAAGAACTATGGAGTCTGAATGCAGACTGAAGCATACTATTTTCCTTTTTCTGATTTTTTTTTCTTCGTGGTTTTTCCCTTTTGTTCTGTTTCTTCTTTCACAACATGACTAATGTAGAACTATGTTTAACGTGATTGCCCTACATAGGGCATACCAGCATCAGATTGTTTGCCGTTTTGGAAGGGGGGAGGCAGAAAAATGTGGAACTTAAAATCTTACAAAAAATGAATATTGAAAATTATCTTTACATGTAATTGGAAAAAGTAAAATTCTATTAATTTTTTTTTAAAAAAACCTTTCAAATATGCTTCCACACTTGCTATTTGAGTATTTTCTACTCTCCTGGCATCAGTTACTTTTTCCCCTTCCTGTCTATTTTCTGTCCCCTTTATTGCCTCCTCATCTACTTCCCAACCTTTTAAAGTAGATGTTCCCTAAAGTTAAGTCCCTTATCCTCATCTCTTCAGAGAACAGCTATATTGTCTCTCTTGGTAAGCTCATTTGAAACTTAATTTAACTTGAAGTACATGCTCCCAAATCTGTATCTTCAGTTCTGGTAAGTCTTCTAAGTTCCAGACCTACTTTGTCAGAAGGACACAGCACATCGAGATTTATAAAACATTTTTAGTTTGACACTTGTGACCTTGACCTCCTAGCTGGGCCCCTTTGGGTTTGGCTGTTGCTCAAGTGCTGTCTTCCTTAAAATTACAAAAAGATGGTTTGTTCCTCTTCATTATTGAATGAAAGGGCTCAATACCTGAATTGCCCACCAGATGGCGCTTTGTTTGAGCTTCCAGCCCGTGTTTGTCAAGGGATGTCTTTCTTAAACCTATAGAAAGACAGCTTGTCAGTCAATTATTGAATGAGTTCAATATCTGAATTGTCCACCAGATGGTGATCTGCTTGAGCCCAGGTTGGTCAGAGGAGGGTCCAGACTCAAAGATGGGACCTGACCTCGTGCCAAGAGGTCACCGAATGGCTCTGGACAGGTGCCAACTAGCAGCTTCTGTCACTCACTACTCAGTGCTGGGTCCCAGATCCACCGGGGGACCTGTGAAGGGTTCTGCTGCTGAGGGTTGGTAGTTGAGGGCAAGGAGTGGTCATTGGCCCTAGGCTGTGAACTGATGGAATGACAACAACAACAAACATTTATATGGAACCTACCACACTCCATGCATTGTGCTAAACATTTTTCAAATATTATGTCATTTGATCCTTGAAACAACCCTATATGATATATGCTATTATTATCCTCATTTTACAGTTTAGGAAACAGAGGCAAAAAGAGATTGGCTTGCCCAGGGTCACACAACTAATAAGCATCTGAGGCTAGATTTGAACTCATGCCTTCTTGACTCCAGGCCCAGCTATCTAGCCACTATCTAGTCTAGTTGCATACAGTTAGGTGACTCTGACCCTGGGAGCTGAGTAGGGTCTCAGTTTCAGAGGCCCCTCCCCCCCAGCCTAGTCTGAAGTCATCAGCAGAATAACTCAGACAGGAACTCTAGAACAAAGGGGAACTTTCATTTCTCTACCATACCCCTCCTTTCTCTATCTCTCCCTCCTCCTCCTTTTAGCTTTCTTTTGTGTTCTGTTTTCCTCCATTAGAATATAAGCTCCTTGAGGTAAGGCACTTACCTCTTGCCTTTCTTTGTACCCCCCAGTCTTGACTAGGTGCCAGTCATTTAGTAAGAACTTAATATTTATTGACTGATCCATTGTTCTTCTGAACCTTCACAGCTTTCCAGAAGACTAGAATTCCAGAAGACTGAATTCCAACTAGGACAAGTCCATTGCTCAGACCCAAACCCAGGAGCTGAGATTACGGAGTTCACACCAAGAAAACAGAACTCATATTTCGCTGTGGTTTCACTTTGGGATTACTAAAAGTTTGAAGATCCCCAGCATGAGCTGTCTTTGAGATCCTGGAGCAACACAACTATAGATGCATGTCCCTATTACCTAAAATGTCCCTATCACCTATTTGGGAGTAGTGTGCAGAGGAGAAATGGCACAAATGTGTATATTCTGGTTGGCCGACTATGCGGTTGGGAGCAGCCTCTTTGGCTTGCCTGTGTAGCCAGAACTGTCTGTCTTTAAAATTATCTGATTGGGGCAGAATGCCTGTATCTCTTTTCCTCTCCTGTCCTCTCCTCTCTCTCAGTGACCCTCGGGCCACTTACCTTCTCCCCTGCATCGCCCCTCCAAGCCATGGCTCTGAGAAACAGACTTGGAGTTTTGGCCTTTCATTGGTCATTTTCACATCTATGTGTAGGGAGTAAAGTGTGTGTGGGGGGGGTGGCTGGGTGGAGGAAAGTTAGGTTTGGGTTAGCTCACATAATTGGGGTGTGCTATACAAATGAGGAAAGAGGAGGGGACTGGGAGACATGAATTTCACTTTCATATGAACTGGCCAAAAGAAAAAAGAATACACATAGAGATCGGTACAGAAATACACGGTACTTGACAGGGAAAATAGAAGGGAAAGGGGATAAAGGAAAGGTTAATAAGACCGAGAGTAGATTAGAGGAGATCACTCCTCAACA